TCATTGGTAGAAGCATAAACGTCAGTTTTCTAGCACACACGCTTTGAGAACTTTTCAACTTTTAGAGCTTTATCAAATGTTGACAATTCCTGCAAGACAACTAAGCTTGAAATGGTGTGGGCGTGCGCGGCCAGTTCCGATTAGCACAAAGAGTACAACGTGTGTTGCATGCTGAATCAGGTCAGAAACTTGTGAGGTTTGAAGATTCATGGTGTGATTTATTATTTCGAAATTGTTGTTTTTCAAACTTTTAGAAATGCAGCTTTGCTCATTCTCGGTTCAATCACTACATCTGAGTACTGCGACTGTTGAATGGTATTAAGTACCTTAACCCTGAGTTAGATCGTGAACTTCAGAAGTTTGAAGCTTGATTGATTTGCAATTGTTATTTTCCAACCAGTTTGGTAAAACACCCTGCGCTTGAGCGTTGGTAAAATCTTTTCTGACCAATATGTTTCTATACGTGTTCTATACGACTCATCATTCTTTTGTGAGATAATAAAGAATTTCATATTAAATAACAATTCAATAAACCTTCTTTGTGTTATTTTGTCATACTTCCTCAAAAAGTGCAGAGAAACTCGAAAATAAGGCCCCCTCCCACTTGACTGTTTACCATACACTGCTCCAAATACGTTTTCAATACGGATAACCTAGCATACAGTGTATTGTTAAGTGTAAGTTATATATTTATTCACGGAATTACATTAGATCTAAATTCGTGATGAAAGTTATTAAGAAAGGCTATAAGTTATATATTAATTTAAGTAAAAAATTAAAATGTATTTATTCTGGTGCAAATGTTTATACATAAAGTAATATACTTGTTAACGTAAGTGATTATACCACCACAGTAAGTCTGTGAAACAATGTTTATACCGCAATATAATCGGGCTGACCGTGTTCAGCTATACGATCGAAGTACTACGTACATGTACACATATGTGACACGCCGAGAGCTTCATACGTGTAGTCATATAACTAAAATACCTCACGATAACTCGATCATTTGATCAAATATCGATCTGAAACTTTGTATATAGGTACGTTACAATCATATGAATAACATATCCTCTGATGTCGCTTACTTTAGTAAGTATCTTTAAATGTACAGGTTAATACACGCATGTGCCACGCCGCCGATCGTAAAATTCAATTGATCATAACTCGGTCATGTTTTTCAAATTTCAAAAATAAGGTGTATTATAGTCATACTGACAACATATATCTTCTGACTACGTACTAGTGATAAGTAGACACCTGAGGCGTTGAAACAAGTCCGGACAAGCTGCTGATGTCTTACTTACAGTATAGTATAGCTGCGATATTTGTTTATATATTGCGTCGGCCGGGGCAGAGGATGCCTGGTATTAATATTAGTACTAATTATAGTACTACTCCCATGTTCAATACCGTCCTATATATCAGTATTTACCTGTGTATATATATGTGTGGTTGTTGCATGTGTAAAAGGATTGGGTTTTGAACTTGTTGTATATATTTCCGTATTTACGTTTCGTGTAACGGAGTGCGTGTACCTGGGGTATTCCCGTTGGGGATTCCCTTCCGGTATATTATTTAGACGTTTTTGATCGGTTAATATTTTTAGGATATGTTACCTTACCTGAACAGCACTCTACGCTCAGGTATGGGTCAGTATCGAGTTCAAATGCTACATTGCACGTGTATTTCAAATACTACATGACACGTGCATTTCAAGGCATACAATTAAATTTGGCTATATAGCTGGGTGTTTTTGGTATGGCAGAGGCTTACATGTAGCTGGCCGGCTCGTTTTTACCCTTCTTACGGGCAGGTATGTAGGAGTGTTTTCGGCCTTAGACCTCAAAATTATTCTGGGCTGGGTGGTATTTTCCCATTGTAGGCATGTTATGGTAGAACTATCTCCGTGTTAATTTGGGATGGTTATTTTCCCGTTGTAGGCATGCTGTAATTTATTATCGGGGGTGTTAAAACTTATTCCCCGGGGTGGGATACCGGGTGGACATTTTTGAGAGGACATATGTTACACGGTATACTGTTTTAGTATGAACCGGTCGAGTGGTTGACGTGCTGTAGCATTGTGCACATCTATTCATCATGTTTCATCTAATTTACTTCACTGTTTCGTTGGTACATAATAAATTGTAGAACTTTATAAAACGTGTTGTTATTCATTGACCTGTAGCCAGCTGAAGTTAAGTCAAGACAGAACCACAGAGTTGACGAACGAAAAAATCACTATACGAGGGCAAAACTTTTACACATGTATAACCCGTGCTTGTCAATATAATACGAATGTTACAAGCTGAAGCTGTACAAATCTCCGTGATTATCTTACTTTACATATGTAACAGGGATATAATTAATGTATTTGCTTGTATGTATGTTTGTTTACTAAGTCTGTCCGTAGCGCGTCGACTGTCCATGTATATATTTCATACTCCGAGTAATGTAACTACCGCGTCCGCGTGTTGTATTCTATACTGTGATGTTATGTCTATAGGTGTATTGTGGTATTCTGCTCGTTACGTATGTTGATATGTTGGTATACCATACAGTTGTTCATTGGTCAGTAGTGTTACGTCAAGTTGTGTATGCGTTTTCATTGGTTCGTTCTGGGTGGTCAGTTTTGGCGCGTGTTTCTTTGTGGGCAAATAAATCACGCTAGTACCTTTTGAGGACTCGTAGTTGACGGACGGAGAGATGTAATGTAAGTGTTTCTTTGTCTTTGTGTAATACCCAACGTATATGTATTATGTGTTTTATTTGAGANATTTTTTTATATGAAAACGTAATAATGGAGGTGATGTAATTTGATTTTTTGTAAGAGGCGTTATTACGTTGTGCCCATTTGACTAAGGTTCGATAAATTTATTTAGATGTCTTTTATTTTAATTACAGTATATCCGTATTGCATACGATTGAAGAAGGCGTCGTAATTATACAAATAGATAGTAGCCAAGGCCTTGTGCCACACTCAGGTATGCTATTGTGTTTTTTATGTAAGAGTATATATATAGTATTGATTTGAGAAGGTATAGGTCGCTAGACTGCTAACTGTGAATTTAATATATTGTCCAGTAACTTTGTTTTGAGTCAAATCTTCAGTTTGATTGTATTTCATAAAAGTTGTAATTGTAATGTGTATTGCCTTATAGTTGATTTGTAAGGGTAAAAGTTATGAAATCGTGTAAGAGTTATTTCCCTTGCATTTGTACTATGAAATATGATTATGTGTGTCTATTTTATACTTTGTACTTGTTGCAGGGTTCTTTTGGTTTTTACAACGAGCAATAAAATGACAGTGAACAAAATCCAGAGGAGTTGTTCTATATCTCACAACAAAACCACCTCTACTACACATACAGGAAGTTCACGAGAAAACTGGAAGAAATATACTATATATATTAGAAACGACAAAATGACGTATTGTCAGGATTTGCTTGCACACCTATATTATACACATCTACGTCTTTATCCATTGCATCGAATAATATTACAAAGCACAAGACGATCGATAAACGTGTGCAGTAAATGCATAGCAATAGATTATAAGATTGGGTCTAACAATTAAGTTACTGATACATAGCGTATGAAATGAAGCATGAAATCAACTCGCTTACCTGTACACATACTGGCCAAATATCCCAACGTAAAACGAAAACTCACTCATAGTGGAGAAACACTAAAGACTTATTAGCATAACATAGGTCCGACACAAACACAGAGATCGGTACATCAAGGCCTCTATAGAGCCCCTGACGGTCGTATTGGCCTAATCATGTACCGATCGTGGAATTCTCGCGATATATTCTAAAGTTACGGTCGTCCAATAAGTATGCATCCTCCAACGGAGTGTCATACATTTTTCAGAATGGCAACAAGTTTTCCTTCCACGCTGTATAATTCCTTTAAGCACTCTTCAGCCTTTGTTGATTAACTTTTGTCAGGTCCTCAAACACGGTAAATCCTGTCCCTTCAGCTTTTTGCTGGCTTTTAATAATATTTCGTGCTTTTTCCGCCTGTGAGTTAATTTCACGATTATGTTCCTTGGTTTCACACGATGTAATCGTCCTAGTCGATGAGCTATGTCGATGTCTGCCTCGTTCAGTGTCACCTCAAGCTTTTTCTGTACAAAGTTAACTATCTTGGAAACGCATTCCTACACCGTCTCTGCATCAGATGTATCAATCAAGTCAACTATCCTAAGAGATTTCTTTCTTCCATGCTGTTCTATATCGTTAACTTTGGATTCCATTTCCGCTTTAACTGTCTCTGCCTCCCCGACTCTCGTTTCCAAATCTCCAACCACCTGTCTTAAATGATCGTTCTCTTTTTCAAGATCGATTATTTTCCCTTTTAGTTTTTCAATAAAGACCTTAAATTCAGTACGAGGTCATCCTTCAGTTTTTGTAATTTAACATCCATATCCGCTTTGGTATTGAATTGTATTAAGTTCTTTGAAATATCATCGAGTCTGTCATAAGTATTTTTCGATCCCCCAGCAACAGCAACCCCAGCCGCAACACCACCACTCCTTCTTGGCAGACCCATCACGAAAATAAAGCAGCTTTAGCGTATAAAAAGTTAGTAATTTTCAAACTGCTTTGTACATATAGCACTGTGTTACCACATACATATAGGTGAGCAGTAGTCACCGTGGGCACACTCAGTCCATTCTCCGAAGATCGTCGCCGTAAGCACGCATTGTCCGAAATAAAGTCACACAGTTAACTCCAATGTGATAAAAGGAATATTCTAGTCTATGTTGATTAAAAACATTTGACCCAAAAACGTCAGAAAATACTATAATTATATAGGTGTATGTCGGAGCGCAGGAATGACCAACCGGCCAGGTCCACGTCACGTGACCAACCCATTATCTCAAAAATTTGATTAATTGGATTTCTTCTCGAAATAGTACAATATTTACCGTCAGTTTGCTATAGATTTCGGAATGGTGGGGAAGAATACAATGTACCTACACTCTTACTTACCGACAGACTTTTGACACATCTAATAAGCTCCAGGTCTTCACAGTTAACATAAAGAGCACCTGAAGCAGATAAGTGACAACTCAATTTGAATACTAACTTCTTAATACATATTAAAGTTAGTAAATATATGATGTAGCTTTAAAATAATCGGAAAACTCCCCAACAACACACGAACATATTAGCGGACTTTTCTCAGCGTCTTTCCACTACACCCATAGGTATTCCATAGACACATACAGTTAAACCTGGAACACCATCCGATATCTTAACAGTCGTGTCGAGTAATGTCAGGACATGGTAAGGCATTGATCGAGATGAGTGAGCTCCGTTGACGCCCATATAATGTTGACATAGCTACATTTAAATATGTATATTAACATAAGCAGTTTGTCAAACACTTATACGCTTCATTTGAGAGTATGTAGATAATTTATAAAGGATATTAAGCTTTTGTTTTCCTATTTATTGACTTCTCACACCAGAACTATATAATTATTTTGTTACATAATTATGTTTATATTCCATACCTTCAAAATCAAGGTTGGTAGGTATTAGCTGATACCTATGTATTCCACTCGTTATTTGCTTATGTAACATGTCTCTCCTGGTTATCACTGAAAAGGTTCATTTAGCAGGAATTTAATGTATATTTGCAAGATTCATCGAGTCACTAATATGTAAACAAACTATGTTCTTACCCAGAAAGTTTCGCTGACATTCTGCCAGCTTGGTGACGTGACATGTGACCAAGCTGGCACAATGTCAGCGAAACTGTCTAGTAAGACTCGATGAATCTTGCAAATAAAAAGTATCTCCTGGTTGAAATGATGATGTCTTGAAAAGAAAAGAATTAATAATAAGGCCATCATTTGTCTATAAAATCCTTTAAATTATCATTTTAGCATTTATAAGGATACTTTACCATGTCATTGATAACAGTTACTTCATTCTGATGGCATTCTTTCTATAACACAGTCACTTTTGTTCTATATATTATTGGCTTGATGCATATCATGCTTTCACTAATAATGTTAAAATACTATATTTTCTCGGAAAAGAATTACATACATCCTTACAATATTTATTCATATTCACATATTAATTTTTATATAAAAAAAAACTGTTTTCTATATATATGATCTATATTTAAAGGTGATATTAACTGTCTCTCCTTTTGTAGATATACCTGATCCACTGTTTCTGTGTTGTTGATAACTTTTTTGGATAAATTCATGGTTAATTAGCCTAAACCCACTACAATAATAATATAGCAAAAATGTTTCCAAAACATTTTAAGATTTCCAAATAAAAAGCCATCCGATCATCGATTTATCTACATTTTCCATTTAATGTAGTTCTTATTTTTGTGCGCGGAAACCAGTCTATTTTACTAAATTTCCTCACAAAGCTCCGTAATATATAATGGTTCAATGTGTATACGAAAGAGACTGTCTTAATTGCAAAAGACCTTAAATATATATCATTGTACAGATGCAGGATCTATTGAATATGTCCAACTTAACTTTGATAGATTAATCAATGCCAAGTTTCAATTAATTGATGATTAAATAGTTATTTTTACTGACTATAGGTTACGTTTGAACTCTATGATGCAGCAAATAAGAGCAATTAGCGACATGGCTCAGTATTTCACCATTCATTATTTACCTGCCAGATTCAATGCCTAGAGAGTTGTCACCCAGAGAATATTTGTATATATTCATATATTAAGCATCCAAACGTGGATGTATACGTATGAAATGTCCCCGTTCAATCTTGATGTATACAAATAAATGTAGCAAAGCTATGGGCCATAAAGTACACATGCAAATACGGATAGGTATGTATAGTAAAGTACAACAACCACATTGACCACCATGGGGATTAGAAATTCTATCAATATGTCCAGATTACAGTAAACCATACTGGCTCTAACTCTGTTCGTATTTTAGGTGTGATAGGTCTGACAAGGTTTTGCGAAGTATTAAAATGCAAGGAATGATAGATAGGTTGATGGATTAACTTGGCCATGTGTTAAATCAGCAAGAAGATCGACGGTAAGCTGCGGTTAAGACAGGACACTACCCCCGATGACGTTTTATCTGAATCGCTCGTATACGTACTCATGTACATGTCATGTGTGTTTATTGATGAGTGAAGTTCTCTATCTAGTGGTAAAATTTAAATATTCGATCGGGATGTCGTGTCCAAAATTTGATGAGTTTCGCTACCTGGAAATCTCATTATTGTATGCATGTTGCGATGCCTAATTGATAAACTACACATTATGCAACATCTAAATATTATAAGTGTCTTCTTCATGAGTTGATTATAAAGTGTTTATTTATAGAACGGTTTTGAAAAAGGGGTCATTGTTGTCCTACACGCTTTACACACATATATACACTGTGCCGTACCTACACACATGAGGATCTCATACAGCGACAAACGTTGGTATGCAAATGCAGTCAAGTTTAATTACATTTCTGTCCCAGCTCCAATTACACATGCACACCACACCTGTGACAATTTGTCTGTATAGTTGGACCAGGAGCTTTAAAATGTCTGAAACCATTGTGTTAGTTGTTCATAAATGCGTATTCACTTCGGTGTATGTGTGATCGACAGATGTTCAGCTGATGGTTTGAAATGGCCGAACTAGCACCCTATAGTCAAACATCCCTATATATACATTTGTATAAACATGTACAAGCATACAAATGCTGGAAATCATATTTACCTTCCTGATATGTACAAAAGCCGTCACCTCCGAGAGCACCACAAAGACCTACACATCTGCAATGCTCTGATAGTTTTTACACACTTTTACATATTCTATGCACCCTGTACGTAACATTGCTGTGGTCTTGGTATTTCTACATTGATTTTGTGTTTTTGTTTACTACATGTGTGTATTTTCCATCCTTTTTCACATTCACCCAACCATGACGAAGGTACGATTTTGTATTACTTGTCAATGTTTGTGAGTGTGAAAAGGAGGGAAAGGAGGAGGCGGGTTTGGACGGTTCAGATTCGGAACCGCTCAGGTGTGACGCAATTAGTCGATGTATAGCTCCGTCTGCCCAGTATAGTGGGTGCAAATCAGTGAAGGGTCTTTTCTTTGATAAAGATGACAGATTAAGGTGAAAGCTTCGAGCTTCAAGTTTTTGTTATTTCCCCTTTTCCTTATATGATATAGCATAAAATCACTTTGACATACATATATGCAAAACACGGTCGAGGACTCGGTAGGAATTTTTTGTCGCTTTCATTTTACGCAATATATCCCAAGCAAGAATTAAATTCATCTTAAAATATAAGCCTTTACAGATAATTCTGTTCGACGTTCAATTTGAATTAAAAAAACAAATTCAAGAAACATGTTCAAGAGAGAATACACACAAGAGGGTGCCGCCTTCACCGAGACTCCCATCACACACAGAACACATTATCGGAAGGTTTAAACGTGAAATGAATTACCCATTTATTACAGTGATGGGTTTTCTGTGGAAGATGTTTTGGTTCAGAATAAATACCGTTGCATGTGTTCCTAATGACTAATGTGATTAAAGCGCCAATAAACATTCTCTTTCTTGGCTAAAAATACATTTTTTGTTTACAAAATAAAGTACGTTTGCGCAATCTCATTTTGTTAGAAGTTCACCGATATCTGCCGCTAAAAAGAATAGCTATGAAACCGTTATTGATTAAGAACGTCAAGTAAAGCATTGCCTCTTGTCAATTGCTCGACGCGAATTTGTCATAAGGACATCTTACTGTATTATCGTGAACGATTCTGTTACAAGATCAGAAAACAAAACACCTCTTCAAAATGATGACGGCAGGGTTCTAATGTTAGTGCTTAAAAATAAAAAATATAAAGGATAACAGTGTTGCATTAATTTAACACATAAATGACAGCTTCTCTTCACATGAAAAGTTATAAGGTTATAGTCATGTCGTTCTGAACTCGTATGCACGCACACCGTTTAATGCACACACTTTTCGGTACCTACAAAAGCCGATATTGTTGATTTATGTATGATATAAGCAATATATCGCATAAGGGTCATATTTTAATATTTTTAAATTAAGGAGACACACGCCATTTTCAAGCTAACTTTTAAATCCAACTCCGCTTAGCAATATATCTCAAACTTGTTTCTATATAAACTGATCGACTAGCAAATTAATGGAATCAGACAACCTTACCTACGGCGCCCCCTAGCTCGTCAAATAACATGGAGGTTAAACGAGACAAATATCAATTCAATTTTAAACGCCGACTAGCAATGTTCAAGCGGAGGATAATTCCTATTCGCATTTCCCATACGATTGCTGTGCACCTGCTTTACAAATCAAATAGTACATCAGGACCCGTATTCATGAAACCGTTATCATGCTCAAGCAAGGATTTCGTGCTCAAACCAACTTTCTAGTTACTCACTCAAATCATGTCATTTGTAAACATTGAAAACAGTATTCGGCTTTAAATCTCTTCAATTTTCCCCAAATCATTGGCATAATAAGATTTTATTATTAATTTATAATTGAAACAAGAACTACGGCTTGAGCACAAAATCAATGCTTGAGCAAGAGAATGGTTTCATGAATACGGGCCCTGAACTGTATATTTTTTCCTTTTTGCGGAAGCGTTTAGTTATAATTGTCCTTATTAATTCAGAAAACGTATATAATCTATTTTTTGCACACTGTATCAACTTTTATAGTGGCAAGTACGTGTGTGTCTTCCGTTCATCCTTATATACAATTGGACGTTTGTAATAATGCTGTTTCATTCTGAACATCCAACGATAACACACTCAGCTTTGAGGCTGGACAGGGGTCATTAATTGATTTATTCAGGTATTGCCTGTATTCCAACTCTACTTTCCAGCACTTTTTAGCCCCTAGCATCACAGTCAGGAATACCTATATGGTGCACTGGTATTCATTGTTTGGCATAACGCACCCGTTACAAAATTTATAAGCGCAATCGACGGTGTGTACATTGCGATAAAATATTAAATTTCGCTTTTAATAAAGATAGATTTAAGTGATATGGAAGTCACTGTTATTAATTATTTCAATTCAAGTTTAATGATTTTTTATTAAACAAAAAGAAGAATTTTCTATACAAGGAATACGTTAATTTGTAATCATAATTACATTTGTATCTACATTGTAATTTACAAAATAGGTTTCTATATCATCAATTTTCTAGGGCAAATGATGGTCATTCATGAAATGCTGTCATAGTTGACAGGAGTCACGAATATGCTGTATATAGTTTGATCTTGCCTTAAACATTTCCACTTTTAGCACAAAATGCACTTTCGCAGTCGCGCTTTCCATGACGTAAACCCTCTGCGGTAGTCTCTCCTTAGCCCGACACGATTTACTTCTTCTGGAAGAGGAAGAGGGTATTCTAACGACGCGATTAGGAGCTCTTCCTCTTCCGGAAGCTCTTCTGAGTCTTCCGTGCCAAAGTTGGAAGAGACCCTATTCCAAGATGGGAGGACACCGTTTTGAAGTGTGCAGATTGTGGTATCTGTACGTACACATTGGCAGCTTTTGAAGAGCACGCATGTACCGGTAGGTTTTATTAATTGATAACAAGTAATTTTATGAGTTGTTGTCACAAAAAATCGTTTATGCGAGTAAACGGTGAAGATAAATAAGATAAATAAGTTGTGATACGAAGCACGTGATGATAACACGGCATTCAATTCATGTTTCAGGGGATGGATTGAATGTATTATGTAAACAAACAAGATTTTATAAAAAAAATAATTAAAAAAATCACGAACTAGGAAAGACAACAAAACAGATATATCTACATGACGGTGCCGATAGTCATTTTACACACAACGGGCACGGTCAACGTGCGGTTAGCCTATACACAATCACTAACAAAACGTTCAGAGGGCCCGTATCGTTGGCTGACTTAAATGTATGCCTCCAACATAATTTGCGACTTTGTTACATTTTCTTCCAACCCCCAAATTTGTTACCAAAATGGTGAAAAGCTGGCAGAAAATACCTACTTTTAGCTCAAAAAAAGGAATTTTTTATATGTTCCAGACCTTTTGATAATAATAGTAGTAGTATTCAGGGATTCACAGGGATCTATTCATTTAGAGGCATACAGTACTTAAAAAACCCCAGTAATTCTTCTTAGATTTTTTATGTCAAAATTGCATGTGCA